CCCCAAAACCCCAAAACCCCATCGATGAATTAGAAGGATTTATAGAATAGGATAATTATAAAAGCATAATTACATAATCCCTGAATAAAATGTTAATATTTTACATAATTATAATATAAAAGATGTAAATAAAGGCTATTTTCAACCCTAATGAAATTCAATTCACAAATTTATCAGAGGCAAACTCAATTAAGACTTAATATGAGTTTAATTAATAAACTAAAGATAAAAGCTCCATAAAAGTACAAAGAGAGTCTTCTATAGAACCAAAGATTTTGAGAAAATAGAATCTATAACCCTCTTGAAGGAATCAAATGCAAGGATTAAAAGGTTACATTTATCTAATCATATTATCAAATATTCTATTGCCTGTGTAAGTCATCAAGCCTTTTCTTCATTAAATAAAATTTATAATAAACTATAATAGATTATCTCAAAAGTGCTTTGGAGTAGGTCAACTACCTTTAGTATTTGGCTCAAAACAGAATATAAATAGTAAGGTCAATGTTTTGAGCTATGATTTCGAAAATGATTATGCCTATTTTGGTGGGCAGTTTGGCGATATACCAATGATCGGATTCTTCAACAATTAATTAGGCTTTGAAAGATTACTATGGCTAAATTCCTACAAGATAAATGGTGATTTGTATTTGAACTAATAATTATCTGAGATAGAAGCCTTAAATAGTAGAAATACTACAATATATGCGACTGCAAGAAGCGCAAATCTACCAGCTGATACTCAAGGATATCATTACATTTTCAAGATAGATTTCCTAGGAAGATATCCTAAAGGAATTTAGATTATAAGATAGATTTCAGAGGTTCTATTTAAGTATACTATTGATTTCGGACCTAATAACACTGTCATCTTTGCTACTCAAGAATAAGATAGATTAACAAAGTTATACATATTATCAGAAGATTTAACTTTAGTACTTGCGAAGTATACATTCTAAAAAACAACTAGAATAGGAGTTATAATGTCCATACCCTAAACTAATAAACTATTTTTAAGTGGTGCATATAACTTATAACCCGCAATAGGATCAGGTTTATTTTTTTACCAGATTGACTTAAATAACTAATTAAATACTTATACAGTACCTGCTTTTGATATAACCTCAAAGTTCTAATATGCATTAATCTTAAGTATAGTAGAATATATTGATTTGTCTATAATTGGATGTTTACAAAGAAGGGGAGGTAATTAAGCCATAGGATTTTATATATATGATAAATAAGGTACAAACAAAGTTTACATGAAAGACATCTCTGAAGATTATAAAACTTCATCAGATGTCACATGCGTAGGCATTTCTAATTATACTGCTGGTGATGTATCGATATTCTATTAGCATTAAACAAGTAGTGAAACTCTAATAACTACTCTTCGCTTTTCAATGAGTAAACTACTAGTAAATAATCCTGTGTTTGTTTTGAGTAATTTAACTGCCAAAATTTAAAGTGATCAAGTAAGAGTATAACACTCAAAATTTCTGCAGCATAAAAATTTGTAATATTTTCATGTTGGATATTTGGTAACAAATGGTTACAATCGTGGATTTATAACTATTTCAAGTCAAGGTTACCATCAAGTATTGTAAGATGCTGATAATCTAATTATTTCTATGGAAAATTTATTTTCAGAGAGTTCAGACATTCTCACAATCAATCTTGAACAAAGAAATTAGCAAACAATTACTTCACTCTATCCAATCAAAATTGACCAAACTTTGCTATAATATAATGGATTTTGGCCGAGTGTATCATTTAATCAATATTCATCAACTAATTTTCCAGTTATAAAGGAGACTTATTATAAAAAGTAATTTAATTCTAACACTGATAAAACTATCAATTGTACTTTGATGTAAGAATGCGATATTATGACAATCAAATTTGATTTATCGACTAAATGTTCTGATACTTCAAACATATAATTCTTTATAAAGTGAGATTTCAAAAACATTACAGCACCATCGAACCTACCTTAAGAATATTTTACTCTAGATAAAGTTCCTGCATAAACAACTTAAGATTTATCTATACTAATTAATAGTGTTGATTAAATAGGTATTCATAGAGTTTAAATTCTTTTTTTCTATTAAGATAACCTAAATCTATTTCAAATTACTGGAGAGGAATTCAGAATCAATATTTGCGAATTTTGTGAAAATAATACTTATCTTGGATAATAATCAAACATATATGTAGCATAAATTCCAAATCTAACAACATAATTATATATTATTGGGGCTGGGTTTATTTAATACTGGATTTAATGGCCAATACTAGTCTATGCAGATAATACTCCTATTGATTAAAACTATTTCTAGATATAAACAAAACTTATATCTAGAGATTAAAAGCCTATTAACTTCATAGACTAATCGAAAATAAATTAAAAGGCGTATTTTATTAATTTAACTGATCAGAATTTTGAGGGAAAATATGATTTATATCTCTATTTTAATGTAACTAGTCTCTAAACTAGCAAGTCAGTATTTAATGTATGGTATGAATATTCAATCATAATATAAAGTATCCATTATTCAAGAGAATTTGAAATTATAAACAACACTGCTCCAAGATTAGTTACAGCAATAGAAGATTTAATTTGCATTACTGGAGTAAAAAAAGAATATAGCTTACCACAGGTATTTGACCTTGAAAATGATTAGTATATTATTGGATATCAATCAGCTATAGCAAATTTATTTATAGAAATAAGTCAAAATAAAATAATCATCGAACCATTTGAAGAGATAATAGGAGTCCACAAAATAAAACTAATTATTACAGATAAAAACAAATACCCTAGATAAAGTTTCTACTTTTTCAAAATAAGAATAGAAAGTGATCCTTTATACCACATTTATTAAATTGTCAAAAATAATTCAGAGTATTTCGATGATTATGTAGAATTCTCAAAAAATATTTCTAGCTAAATAAAAGGTAGGATAAATGCAAAAATACTTGAAATAGGAAGACAAGGCTAGCTAAAAATTTTGTTTGATAAAAAGCTATATATGAATTAGGTGCCTATAAGAAAACTTCAGAACACTCTTGAAATCTTTATTGAAATTTAAGAGGTCGAGAGCAAAGTTGACTTTAATATAACATACTATAAAGATTAAAAGCTTTATATTACTCTAAATTTTAATGAATCACTTGAGATTTCTAAATCATCAGTAAAGCATTTTCAGATTTAATAAACTATTCAAATATAGGTTTGGGATAAGATTAAAGTTGTGTTCAAAGTCAATTATTTGTATATTGATGAAAAGAGATAATATGTAATCCAAAAAAATTATGAGATTTAAGCTTGAGTTCCTCCTTAGTATTTATCAGGTAAATTTTATTAGATAGTTAAACTATATTTCTGATAGATTTTGAAGAGTATTTAATTGGAGTAGGATAATTTTTAAAATTAACTCTATCAAGTATTATCGGATCAAATATGCTATTAAACTTGTTAATGTAATTATCAAGAAACTTAATTCTTATTAAAGGTCTCAGAGTATGCAAATGTTATGGGGAATGATAAACAGCTTCTAATTACTAACTCATCTGCCTCTAATGACAATAAGTATGCCTGCAAATGTAGCTCTATTTTATAGCTTTATTCTTGATGTCTCTAGCTTTCAGTTCATTGACACAAACAAAGCTGCTTAATTATGGCTTGACTATGAAATTTAAGAAGGTGAAGAAGATACTTTTAATGAATATTTCAAACAAATGGGTTACTAATCACGAAATTTGATTCTCAATCTTGGATTAATATTTTTCTTCTACTTATTCATAGTATTTTTGGTAATTTTCACTTAAATGATTAAGCTCACCTCATTTAAATCAATCTTGTAAGAAATATTTAAAATTAAAACTTTTTAGTTGGAAAAAGTTAATAAATTCATTTCAAAGGATAGTCGAATACTCTATAATTTTAAGGTTCCTCTTAGAATCCATGATTGAATTAGTGATTTGCTCTTCAATATAAAATTTTACAGTAATCAACAATTAACCTTTAAAATTCTTTTAGTTTAATGGCCGAGATATTGATATTTTTAGTTCTATGTTATCTTTAAAGTTCTTAGTAGTATCCATTCTTTTTCCTCCATTTACTTTTTATATAAAATGTACATTTGATATGAATTAGATTAAATAAAAATTTTTGCCATTGATGGAAGGGATTAGATAAGATTAAACATATTTTATTGTATTTAGTATATTTAGGAGAGTTATTTATTCAATAACTTTAGTAATTCTTTCTGATAATCAGGGAATATAATTGACATTTTTGATTTTCCAGAATCTTATAATGTGTATTTATCTTATTTAGAATAAACCGTATGTATCTTATTTGTAGAATATTTTAGAGATTTTTAATGAAATAATAATACAGGCTATTCTCTATTCAATGATTATTTTTACTGATAATTATGAAATCAATCAACAACTTAGAGTATAATTAGGATTCCTCCCAATAATGGGCTCGTTAATTTTTCTAATAGTAAACATCACTGTAATTTTAAAAAATTTAATTGGTTAATAATATATGAAACTAAAAGCAAGATTTAAAAGTATGAATAAAAACAATATTTTCAAATCTAGTAGAAATACCTTTGGTTAAAAAAAGAGTAATTAGGAGATTTAAAATATCAAAGATACTGAAAACAATTTATTCTTATTTGATTCTTTGACCTCAAGTTCATCATAACAAGAGAATAATTTTTACCATTCATTAGAGAGTTAATCTCAATATCAAATAAATTTAAGAGGCCAAATATATTCTGAGTAATATCAAAATCTACAACAAAGCCAAACTTCATTTACGCTTGATGGATAATAACATTAAGATACATTTTAAGAATCTTTTAGCAATGAATTTACTTCAAAGATCAATGAGATTTAAAACAACCTCACTGGTAAAATAAATGATTAACAGAAAACCAAATAAAAAGATCAATAGAATAGTATAAAAAATTATCCATTGTTTATTCAAAATATAATGCAACAAAAAGAATTTTCTGTTATTAAAGGCATAAATTAATGAATATATATACCAGAATTAATTTAATTGCTAAATTTGTAGATTTATGCTTTTGGGGTTTTGGGGTTTTGGGG